TTTCGACCAGTACCCTGCTAGGGAGAGGGGAATGACAGGAAGAAACTCCATTTTCAGTTTTCCAAACTGTTCCTAACCCAAACAGAGCTAATTAGCAGGCAATTACTTATTCATAGAAAAGGGGGAGATTTTTTTTAAAAAAAAATCTAGTTTAATTTGTCATTAGTCCCAGAGTAATACAAGAATAAATAATTCAGTGTCAACAGAGGAAACTTGTAGGAATTACAAGAGTCACAGAATTGATTCAAAGGTTTAAACAATCAGCCAAAGGAATGTTAATTTCTCAAAAGTATAAATATTATGTTAGAGACCTACTACAGATCATTCTCAACTTACAACCAGAATTTCCACTGCTTAGGTTCTTAAGTGAATCACACCTCATTTTACCTTTTTTTGCCACGTTTGTTAAGTGAATTGCATGCACTTCTTAATCACATGGTCATTAAGCGAATCCGGATTCTCCATTGACTCTGCTTGTTGGAAGTCAACGGGGAAGGTCGCGAATTAGGATCAAATGACCCCAGGACATTATAACTCTTGTATGCTGCTTGCTAAGCATTGATCACCTGACTGGTGCAATGGCCGTTAAGTACGAGGACTGGTTGCAAGTCCTTTTTTTCAGTGCGGTTGTAACTTCAATCAGTCCCTAAACGCAGCATCCATGGTATGGCGTCCTGTCAGTGTGTGAGAGAGTTGAGGGCTGTTTGGGAACAAACTGTTTGCTGTGTGAGCAGCAAGGAAGGAGGCAGCAAGGAGCCAGAGCGTGGCTTGTTCTGTACTAAAGCTGCATGCTGTGCTGATACCTGAAACAAACTGAAAGTGAAACTTCTCTGCTGAACTATTGTGTTGGCAAACCTGCTTTTGGTATTGTCTATTTACTTCATGTGTTATATATAAAGAGACATTATTGAATCCTGCTGAATCAGTGTGTGCTTTCTGAATGGGATTGCTGCTGCAAACTCTCCTTGCAGCAAATAGCAAACAGCCAGGTCAGCTTCAGCACATTATTCAACCTGAGCAGCTGATTGGCGGGGTGGATGGGAGTGCCGGAATACCCCCAATCAGCTGTTCCAGGCTACAGGAATTGCTACAGACCATTGCCTCCTCGCATTTTTGGCTACATTCAATGTATAAGGCGCACTCAAATTTTTACCCTCTTTTAAGGAGGGAGGGAAAGTGCATCTTATTCTCCGAAAAATACAGTATAGATATACCTACTGGCCTCCTGGACCATCGTGTGGAATTCCAGAGAAAGTTTCATCTTTTAAAACAGGAAATTCACAGGTGGGGAAAAACACCTTCAA